CAGCGACCTTACGAATTATGCTGACCCTCTATAGCTTTTCCTTCCGTGCGATACAGGGTGACCATATTCGCTCCGTCGTTCGACGGAAGAAACCTAAGCGAGAGGGGTCCCGCGCAACACGGACACTAAACGTTTAAAGAATTTTTATCGACGTTTTTAAATCTTTTTCTCGCTACGAGGGTTCAATGGTTCAGCGATGCCCTTTACTAGGTAATTGTCGTGTACCGTGTAAAGATTGGCTGTCGAGTCTGATCGATTATAGCGTAATCTCCTATGAACCGAAGAAGTTGCATCGAAAGGGGATTGTCCCGTGAGTGGTCAGACTCGCCAGCCGACATCTCATCTATGCACAATAGATATAATTTTTTTACGTAGATCTCCCAGCGCGTTTTGTTTTCGTTTGCTCTCTTTAATATACGAAAATTCCATTGAACTGCAACATGATTGAAAGCTTTCATGTTCTATTTTTTTTTTTTTTTTTGTTTTTTGAAAAATGCTCGACTCGTTTAATTTGAGATATTTTTTTGTGAAAGTCAAAACCAATCCAATTATTAATTTTTCGCGAAACAGCGTTCGAAAGATATTTTTTCGTTTTGCGTTCTGTAATAAATATTCACCAAGCTTCAGTTACAAAATGCCTCGATCGTTCTCGATATAATACGATTGAAAATTAAAAAAATCAAAATGTCAAGACCTATTTAAGATGAGCTTTTATATTAATATCGAATAGATGTTTCATCGTACTCCAGCGGCTCTCCAGGTTTTGTTTGTCGTTTAAAATAAAATTATATCTCGATTCTGTTTAGAGTAGCTCCGGTATTCCATTAGCCCTGAACGTTACGATTTCAGCAAACAATGATCTATATCTGTGTAACTTGGGAGGATATTGTTATACTCGCTCGTAATAAATTAAAGCGTGTCCTGTAATCAATAAATATATTCTCTCACGTGTTTCATTGTCGCTAATCTACGGTGTACTAATATGCACGCAGGGCGACGATAATAAATTACTTTTAATTCTACCCATCTGTCACAACGCGATGGTACGTGCTTCGTGGATACTTATCTCGCGTTACAGACCTTTGTTCTCTGCTTTAATGAAAGTTACGTGATAATTACCCGGAAAAGGGAAATATTTATAACATCCTTCTTTGAAACCCGAAAACAAGAATTTAGTATATTTTCACAGATTTTAAACATTTCGAATACTCGTTCGGCGTGTCCGTGTAAAGTGCTACGGGAAAATGTGCGCGATCTTGATTACTATCCCTAGTAGCACAAAGTATTGTATACACATTCATGTAATGTTAAAAAGAGTATTCAATCTTTTTTTAATATTCAAATATACATACAATATTTATTTTATATTAAGTAACAAATATCTTTTTTTACATATGCAGGAAATATCTATTTCATGTTACGAGAAAAATATGTTTTTCTGATTATTAAATGAATCTTTATTTCATATTAGAAATAGAATATTTTTTCTTAATATACAGATAATATATATTTCATATTATGAAAAAGATATTTTTTTCTTGTTATAAAATGAATCTTTATGTAATATCAGAAGTAGAATATTTTCTTTTGAATATGCAGGAAATATTTTATGTTTATCATGGATAAATATTTGTTCCAGAATATGATCCGAAGTAAATTGTTTACTTTTATTTTACTTTGAATTCGTGTATGTCACTTAATCGACATGTATTTATATTATAAGAACATTAATGCGACAAAGTTGTGTATAAAAATAATCGTGTAGCTCTTACGTCTTAACGTAATATGATTGAGTGCATAGAAAGGAGTTGATATGTACATAGAGATTAATTTTTTGTATAACTTTTTCTTAAATTTGAAGATTTTATTGAATGGTATTTAAATATTGAATTTATATTTTTCAAATATTGGATTCACATTTTTTAAATATTTATTTTTTAAACATTCAATTTATATTTTTTGTACAATATTCAGATCAAATATTTTTGTTTAAAAAATATTTTTCCAATATTCAGATCAAATATTTTTGTTTAAAAAATATTTTTCCAATATTTGAAAAAAATATTCATCCAATATTTTTGTGCTACTAGAGATATGTTCATGCATCGAAAGGCTATGGCTATTTGATCGTTTCTCAAAATTCCAGCACGGGTCTCGCGTTTACGTTTATTTTCACAGTAAAACGTGACTGGATTATTTGTTTATCGTAACTTTTTTTCGAAAAATAGAATAAATAGAATATGGGTTTGAAAAAAATTAGAGACGCGTGTACGGGCAAGACATAATGGAATAGAGAAACAGGAACGCGTAGGAAAAATGGGATTGTAGTATAGTCGCGGGATGCGCCGATAACGACAATGGCGGTATGGAAAGAAACGTCGTGGAGATTATTAGGAAGGCGCAGAGTGACGTGAGTTTCAATCAGTTGTACTCCGCGCGTCGACGCCTCGGATCTTTTGTCCCATACAACGTGTTTCCCTATCCTTCGTATTTACCCATCGTGCTTCGTTGGCTCAGCAGCCCGCCACCTCGTCCTGTTTGTCACTGCAATAACGCATTCTACGTAGCTTTGTCGCGCGTTGTAGGTATTTGTACGTCATTCCTAGTCCGCCCGAACGCTTTGCCGTTCTTCCTTCCCCAATCTCTGCCTGTGTTTGTCGCGATACAAAGGGGAACGCGATGCACAGGGTGTGCAGTAATTCCAACGATAACAGCCCGGTGTCATAATTCTATCCGAACGGTGTCAAGTCGACGCCAGGCGCTGTACAAACGGGAGAATCTTATAATAGAATTTGGCTGGCACCATTGTTCGACATTTATTAAGGTGCGGATAAAATTCATAATCGCGAGACAGCGAATAAAAATCCTCAGAACCCGGGACCAACAAAAATCGACGGGAACTTTCAGGGCAGCCATCTTGGACGAAACGGGAGTCCGTATATCTATTTTTCTAGACTTTCGTCTTGATTTATGGTTTCGTTTCGTCGTTTTCCCAGTCTTGTATTTCCACGTAATGGAGATTAATCCTTACATAACCGCCGGTCGAGCCCTTATCTCCGAGCTTGCATACGTACTAACCTAGATCTAACCCAGACCCCGTTTTAGAACTTGATCCAAACGTGACCCAGATTTTGTTTAGATTCAATTCCAACCTAATCCATTGGTTTTTATCTTATCTTCAAGTTCACGCCCACTGGTGCACTTCGATCTGCACGTAACTTAGGCTTCCACCACACCCAAATACAATACCGACTTCCAGCCGTTTATCTTCGGCCCTACCCTTGCATATATTATTGCCTCTTCTGAATTTTGCGCTGCAACTGAAATGAAACTGATCGTAGAGGCATACAATTTCCTTTCGATCCAAGTTATTCGTTTTAGTGGCTCGATTCCATAGTCGTGCGTTGTTTAGCAGTTTAAAGTTGTCGTCGATAAAAGTTAATCCAATCTAAATAATTTCTGAGCCGAACCGTGACCCATTTTACATCCCAGTCTCGGCGCTAAGCTCTCGGCGTAAGTATTTTTCAAAGTCAATCTTGATTTAACCTAAATACGTAACGACTTCGTGTTGACGTACATGTAAGCGTATTCGAACGAAAATGCAGGATACGATCTTTTTTTTTTTTGCAACAATTGTTAACGAAGGTGTCGCCATTGCACCGCGATAAAGTATAATAAGAAGCACTTGGAAACCGATACCATGGATGAAAAATTATCTCCTAACGGAACGCCCTCGTCCTCTGGATAATAATAACCGTCTTCGGATTTAGTTCCGAGCCATTTTTTATTTTTATTTATTTTTTTATTCCGAAGGACCTTCATACTTTATTACATGCATAATGTAAGGAAAAACTGCAGCAGCTGCAGTGCACAATACTATGAACATAAAAATGAATAACTGAGGTAATTTGCACTAACAAGGTAAGATTTTTCAAGCAACAGTCATAAACATCATTTTATTTTTTTTTGTATTATTATTTCGCCCTGAAATTTAAAGGTCCCTTTTGATCGAAGAATTCATTGGTGCCTGTCGTTCGATGGAATTTTGACCTAAACAAATCCAATGATCTTTATATCCCGTATAAAGAAAATTCCCTCGGGGGATATATTTCTCCTTCGCTCGATGCCCAATAGTGTTTTCGTATTCTGAGAAGCAACCGAGACATTTAGGTGTGCCCTTTACGTGCCATGGCATAATAATTTAAGTTCTTATGCATTTGCGTTTCACGCTCGCGACGTCATACTTTTACGCATTCGCTCTAATTTCACCATAAACGCGAAGTACGGCTCTCAAGTACGAATGTATCCGGTGAAAACACCGCACGAATGTTCGTTACAATATCCAGTACGCTAATATTTATGTTTCAAATGGCTTTTACTCGCAAGTAATCTTGTTAAACATTTTGTTCAATTCTACAAAGGCGGTGACCTACTTTAATCTACAAATGGATCTCGAAGGAGTCGTTTGGAAGACGTCGAGAATATTGACTTAAATGATTTTTATAGGACTATAAACATACTTTTACGAAGTATTCTTTCAACGTACCAAATATACAAGACATTACGTGGAATTCCTATCCTAGGTCTAAATTATTTAACTCTATAACACGTGCACATAGTCGTTAACATTATGGAACTGTATACCCCGGCCATGAAAATACGTAGAAGTAAAGTTTAAATGAACGAAGGAAAAAGACAGCTTTTTACTTCACAACATACTTTAATCGGGTTTCGGTTGCTACGATAAGGAAATACGCATAAGTCTTAGCAGCTAAATTGCACACGAACCACCTGAAACTAAATATAAAAAATGTTTCGGACCCCAAAGGGTTAAAGAAAAGCCACCGTTGGTCTCCGTGCTTCTTTGTCCATTCGTTTCCGGGTGATGGGAGTCCCACGGCTGGACGGTCTTCCGAGTTCCTCCCCACTCCCCACCCGGCGCCTGGCGCGCGACGCAGCGCGAGGTTGCGGGGAAACGCAGGGACTTTTGTTTCAGTCGCGTTCGAACTCTCGACGGAGACACGCGTCCAGTCGAGTCGAGTGCCGTCGGTTCCTCGATGGAAAGCCGGTGAACGGACACGGTACGAAATCGCGCGAGGAATCGTCTCTTGGACCAAATCGTTTGTCATCCGCGTGCTGATCGACGGTTTCGCGCGGTTGGCAAAAAGGCTATTTTGAACAACCCCCACTCCCCCCCAACATTTGGACGAGACGCGTTCTCCTCCCCGTCGTCCGTACGTTTTCTTTCTCCCTTTCATTCAGTCGGACAGTCGTTGGAGATTCCATTCAATCTACCCCCCTTGTCGTTTGAAACGAGTCCAAGTGGACTCGGAGTTTGGCTAACTCCGACCATCCTCGAGGAGTACATATTGGGGACAGATTCCCTTTTCGCATCAGAATGCGTCGTTGACGTTGGCCCGTCGGAGTGTTTTGATAGGGCAGAGATGTTGAACCACGTCGACGTAGAGCACCGAATGTTTTCCCAGAGTCAATCTTTGTTCTGCGTAAATGGGCCCAGAGGCATTTTACTTGCAATTTGTTGCTTCGTTTGAATAATGTTCGTGTTGGGGCGAGGATCTCGAGAGGTTATGTTTCGAAGGTTCTTCATGATTTTTAGAATGCAATGCTACATTACTGGCGACGTTTTCGATCATATATTACTTATTTTAAATGATTGTTTTCTTATGAAATGTATAATATCAAATATTAAGTTCGTCTTCTGCGAAACACCGTCCCATGAACTACATCGACGAAGCTCGTGTTAATTAATTGCTGCGTATCCAAAATAATTTTCTCGGTCGTTAACGCATCACCGGTCGACGATGTGCCTGTGTTTCTCCCGTAATTTGTTAATTCGTTCGTGCTACGACGTTAGAGGCTCCGCGAGTGTTCACTTCGGTTAAGGACGCTGGGGAAGATGTTGACGATGAAACTAGGGCACTTTGTTTCTTACACCGCGATGTATCGATGAAGTTGCCTTGCCTGAGCATCTTGGCAAGTACGATAAATTTTCTCTGCGGAAATTTGATTTTCTCGGATAATTATAATGGACGCGATACACTTCGGTACCCCGAGTACTCGAGTGTCTTAACTTGTCAGTGATGAAACGAGGCCAGAACTCGCTCTTTGCACCATGATGCATCGTTGTAGCTATCTTCACTGAAAATCTTGACAGAGGTGTTTCGTGTTTGACTTCGTTATCCCAATTGGTAGTCGTACAGTGACCGGAATAATAATAAGTTAACACTTGACTCTTTTTAAGTCAATTTAAAACATAGTTCAGTTTTTTTAGTACAATTTTTATTAATATTAACGCTAGATATTTTTATCGAATTTTGATAGTTCCTTCTCTACGCCATTTTTATAATCACGGGTACAAATTGAAAGTTCTACAAAAATTGAAAAAAAACGCGGGTATATTATAAGGATAATAATGCTGGTTGTTTAAAATAAAAGGTTGAATATTTATTACTACCGAGAATCATCGATTTTCTGCACATTCGAGTGGGTTCGCCAATAGGCGTGGACACTGAACGTGTTAAACTAGAATTAATAGTCGTGTCCAGTATATCTAGACCAGCAATTGAATATTCCATTTCAAACGTAACATTGACCTATTTTTATTACCGATACGACCAGTTCGTGTTTCGTTGAACGATAAACGTACGAAGAAGTGTCCTGTCATGAGCAATTGCTAGCAGAGCGTTAGTCCTTCTATTAGTTAACAAACTCGTTACGAGAAACGTTTGTGGAAGGAAGTTCTTGTTTCGACTAGATTAATGTCTCGTCCGCGTTCTCGCTGGGCCGATTTCAGTTTCTAACTTGTTCGAAATGTAAACCAACGATTGTTGGTCTTCCGTTCGTGTTATGTTCGATAAAATAAAGTATGGTTGCAAAGGACAGAGTTGTACAAAATTTTATTAAAAATCTCAGTCTTAATAATAGGGGGTTTTTTAAAAATACTATTTGGTATTGTTTATTGCCGCGAAAGAACAGTTCTACGGACAAGTAAATACTTAGCAACGGTAGTATGCGACCAATTTTATTGCTTGTTTTCACTGAAAACTCCATCTCAGCCATGTAATGCTGTTCCCTCGGGACAGCTACATGGTCGAAGAATAAAGGGCAACCAAGAAATTAGATACGAAACGCTATTCAAGCAGTCATCGAGTTTAACGGTAAAAAGCAATTTCCACGTAATTTCATGGTAAAAGGATGCAAGAGAACTTCCTGCCTGTCGCTAGATTGTGTATTCTTAACTTGGAATCGAATTTCTTCGAGACCCAATCTCCCCGGCTGGCAATCCGACGGCTGAGCATCGGCGTGAATTAAATCCTGGACGACGATTCTTTGAAAGTAACGTTAGCTATGCTAAAACCCGCGTTACGTTTCAATCGTTATCTTAACCGAAACTCGATCCTCTCTCCATGGACAAATTCCGAGTTTTATCGTCGGGACTTGGAACACGTGGTCACCCTTCGATTTGTAACGAACGAGGAACGCCAGGAGACGCGAAAAAAAACGACGAGCAATTCTATGATTAGACGTTGCTCGTCTATTTTAACGTTCACCTTGAGTCGGAACGAGCATCGGTTGCAACGAGCATATATTAAGTTACATATACAACAATACCAACTATTTAACCTAAAATTGATTTCTCTTTCTACTTACAATGTTAAACAAAGTTAAATAGATCCGTAGCCTTGTTTATGGGAAGAAAACTTCTACAAAATTTTATTTGTTATACGTATAAATATAGGCACACGTAGGAAGACTCGGAGTACTGTTAGAAAAATGTTTCATGGTTTCCCTACGCCACTGAATCTGAACACGGGAATATCGATGTCGAGATTGTCGTCACTTTTGCCTGAAAGTTGAATAGAAGGTAAAATTAGATTCGCGTATAAATAATTTATCGATCTTTTCTCGGATGTCTCCTCCGCCAGTTCCTGTCGATTGTCCGGCATGAATAACGCTATCGAGGCGACGATTTATGGCCGCAGCTCGTTGGGTTGGTAACATCTGAAGTGTCCGATAGGCATGTGATACTCGTTATGAAGTACTGTTCGGGACGATCAGTGGATCCGAGTGGCTCGGTACCAACAGTTTTTAAGAGTTTGCAAGAAATCCTAAACTGCGAACGTGACTTTTTCATCCATCACGACTGTATTTAACGAACGAAAAGTAAATAAACAACTACGATATATCAAGTATAGCGAAAGAATGGGGTTTTTAAAGTAAGGTTTGGTTTTATAACCTAAATGTACTTAACGGTAAATATCGTACAGTTTGCAGTCGATTCCGATTCCTTTCGTATTTTAACAATATTTATTCTCGGAATCGGACTCTGGGAGAACGGTATCAGGACGAAAATTGTTGGAATTTTTCTTCGTGCTCGACTGCTCGAGACGTTTCTCGATGTCACGGTATATGAAAAATGAAATGCTCGAACGTGGAGCAATAATTCCTTCGAGTGTCACCGAATGTGTATCGTCGAATCCCAGCGAAGAAGATTGATCTCCTGATCGAATACTATTCGATTCGCGCATTTGTATATTTTATCGATTCCATAGAATTTTGATCGATCGTCGGTTCTTCGGAAACTAACAATTCATCTAAAATAAGACAACAAATAATTTTTCTGAAATAATCAGATTATTTCGAATATAATTATTTAACATTGTTTTTTTTATCGTTCCGCGTATGTATTTTTCCACTTGCGCTTGAATATTTTCTCTCGCCCAATTCTCTCGAGAATTGAACTTTGTGGCGCTCCTATACAGTAGACGAAACAATCCGTATCGATTGATCATAAATCAGAATCGTCGCGGACAACACAATAATCGTTATAAACCAGGGGTTCTCATACTTTCTCTCCGTACGACGCTGTTTTCGAAAAATTGTTCATTATATTTGCACAGTCGTGTCTGACTGTCATACAGGATGTTCGACCACCCCCGGGAAAAATTTTAATGGGAGATTCTATAGGCAAAAATAAGACGAAAATCAAGAATACTAATTTGTTGACGGAGACTTCGTTAAAAAGTTATTAAAGTTTAAAGTTTTGCCCGTACTGAATTTTTTTCTAGAAAGTGGGTAGGATTTCGGTGGTAGGTCTATTCACCAAAAATTATTGTAATTGACCCCTGCAACCGAAAATAATTTTTCCATAACGATTTGAAATTTGTTAATTTTATCGAAAAATTTCACACCTCAAATTTTTTTCTAGAAAATGGATAGGATTTCGGAGGTAGGTCTTTTCACCAAAAATTATTGTAATTGACCCCTGCAATCGAAAATAATTTTTCCATAACGATTTGAAATTTGTTAATTTTGTCGAAAAATTTCACACCTCGAATTTTTTTCTAGAAAATGGATAGGATTTCGGAGGTAGGTATATTCACCAAAAATTATTGTAATTGACCCCCGCAACCGAAAATAATTTTTCCACAACGATTTGAAATTTGTTAATTTTGTCGAAAAATTTCACACCTCAAATTTTTTTCTAGAAAATGTATAGGATTTCGGGGGTAGGTGTATTCACCAAAAATGCTTGTAATTGACCCCTGTAATTAAATATAATTTTTTTAGTATGATTTGAAATTATTTAATTTCGTCTAAAAATTTCAGTAGCTACTCGAATTTTTTTCTCGAAAGTGGGTAGAATTTCAGAGGTATGTGTATTCATAAAAAATGATTGTAATTGAACCCCGCAACCAAAAATAATTTTTTCAGAATGATTTGAAATTTTTTAATGACTTTAATAAAGCCTCAGTCAAGAAATTGATATTCTTGATTTTCGTCTTATTTTGGCCTCTAGAGTGAACCATTAAAATTTTTCGCAAGGGTGGCCGAACACCCTGTATAAAATTAAATGTCCTATCCACGGCGAGTAGAAGAAAATGTCAGCGATGTGGAATAATATATATCTATGATTTTACACTAGTCGAAAGGTCGAATCTGCCTTACATCATCGTCGCTGTTGGTGGCCCATTTGTCAGTCGTTACGTGTCCTTGATTAAGCGTGGAAAATGAATATCAATGGCCTGAGGTTGCAATCGCAGATAGACGAGGTTGTATT